ATACTGAAAATTTACAGGACTCAGCAGGGTATGATAGTATAAATGGACTCCCAGCTATTTGGGAGGCTGAGGCAAGAGGATCACTTGAGCCCAAGAGTTTTAGATTAGCCTGGGCAATACAATGAAGACCCATCTTTAAAAGTTTCTTTTCTTACAAGATTTTCTAGATTCAGCACCAAATTAAATCTCCATTATTTTAAAAAAGCCAAAAAGGCAAGCATATAATTACAATGCTTTTGTTTGTTTGGTTGTTCAAGACAGGGTGTCTGTCCTGGGCACTGTAGACCAGTCTGCCGCTGCCTCCTGAGTGCTGGGGCATGTACCAGTATCACCTGGCTAATTACAGTGTTTTTAAACAGAAGTTTTCTTTTCTTTTCTTTTTTTAGTGTTGGGATTGAATCAGGGTCTCATTTTTCTGTTGTATTTTTTAAGATTTAGCCAGGTGATGATGGCGCACGCCTTTAATCCCGGCACTCAGGAGGCAGAGACAGGCGGATCTCTGAGTTCGAGGCCAGCCTGGTCTATAGAGTGAGTTCCAAGACAGCCAGGGTTACACAGAGAAACCTTGAAACAAACAAACAAACAAACAAACAAAAAGATTTAGATTTAATTTACATGCATATATGAATATATCAGATCCTCCAGATTTGGAGTTACAAGTGCTTGTTGAATCACCATGTGGGTGATGGGAATCCAACTCATGTCCTCCATAAGAGAAGTACATACTCTTAACTCCTGAACCATCTCTCCAGCCCCTATACTAGGGTCTCAAGAATTCTAGGCAAGCACTGAGACACAGAGCTACATCTCAGGGCTTTTATTTTTTGAGACAGGTTCTCAGAAAGTTGTTTAGGCTGTCCTTGAACTTGTGATCCTAATACGTTAGTTAACCAGATGGCTGGGATTACAGGTACATTTAAGCGTACAGGGCTCTTAAATAGATGCCATCTTCTAATTGTTTCAAAAGCCCACACAACTCCATTGAACTGGGCCTCTGTCTAGTGGCGTCTGGGGGACTGTTGTCCTAACAACACTAACTCATTCTCAGGAGGTAGTTCAACTCTATAACGACTGCTTGTACCACATTCCACAGAGAGGTTTTAGCAAGAATATCGTTTTCCCCAAGTTCTTCATGAGGGCAATGAGGCCTCAGGAGAAACAGTCTCAATAGGCCAACAGGAATAAGGGGACTGAAAAGTGTGTCATCTGTCTTTTTACACAGGAATGCAGACAGCACTATCTTAAGTAGCCACTTTTTTAAAAGTACATGTAGTGGATTTAGAATTCAGCTGTGTCACATCAGACTGTTGGGAAGCAGATCATGAACACAATCCAAAAATAACAGCCATTAAAAACCTAGCAACCAAAACATGTTTATGTATCCATTGAAAGCCTGGTGGTTTTGATTATATAGTGGAGGGTATAATCTACTAGTCTATTTTAGGTAAATTTTCCTTTCACCTTCCTTTAATATTAAATGCACAGTGATTTCTGAGTTTAAAGATGCACATGGTAGAGTCTGCACGAGAAACAGGCACAGAACAAAGTAGAATGCCAATAGTTCTCTTTGATTGCTTCTCTCCCCCCTTGAGCTGAGGACTGAACCCAGAGTTTTGCACAAATTCATGCACATTTAGCTTTACCAAGCTAAATTTCCAACCCCACAATGAAAAAAAAAGAGTTTTTTTTTGTTTGTTTTTTATCTTATATGTATGAATGTTTCGTCTGCATGTATGCTGGCACTCTGTGAATGCAGTTCCCATGGAGGTCAGAAGAGGGTGTTGGATCCCCTGCAACTGGAGTTACACATTGTTTGTGAGCTGTCATATATGGGTACTCAGAATCAAACCTGGGTCCTCTGCAAGATCAACAGTGCTCTGAACTTCTGAGCCAACCCTTTCTCTTTACCACTGTTTTGAGACTTCTCCAATGGTAGGTCCTACATCATGCCGTCCAAAGATTATCCCGGTTTCTTCCTGGGATTTACATAGCCTTTTTTGTTTGGAACAAATATTTTGAGTCAATAAAAAGTAGATTACAAGTAACTTAAACGTCTCTGGGTAGTTCCCAAGCAAAGCTGTTCTCAAGATTTAAGGACGTTCAATGGCATGCCAAATGGTAACTGGCTTTACTGAATTTGCATCTTCTGCCACATCTTCTCTATTTCACATAGCATGAGGTGACCACATGTATCTGCCGATTCCTACTCCAGAGCTATATGTCACCACATCGCAGGAGAAATCTAAAGAAAGGACTAAATAGAACTGGAGAACAACCTTACCCAAATGAACAGTTTCTGATCTGCAAAGGGGTGAAAGGATGAATCACATCCACCAAACTCTTAAGATGGAACTTCCTAACCTACTAAGAGAATGATGACGTCAGCTGGGCAGTGGTGGCACAGGCCTTTAGTCCCAGCACTCAGGACAAAGGCAGGTGGATTTCTGGGAGTTCGAGGCCAGCCTGTTCTACAGAGTGAGTTCCAAGACAGGCTTTAAAAGAAAAAAAAGGTGATGATGTTCTCAAGTTCCAAGTTCTATATTTAACTTTCAACTAGGGGAGCAGAGTTGTCCAAATCTAAAGACTTCACCATGGATCACAGACCCCAAAACACAGTTCAGAAATGTGGGAAAGGTCACAGAGAAACCAAAGTAAAAACTCCATACTACTTCCCTTTTCTAGTACTAAATTTTAAATCTCTCTCTCTCTCTCTCTCTCTCTCTCTCTCTCTCTCTCTCTCGGAGACAGTGTTTTCGTTGTGTAAGTCTGTCTTGAAACTCCCTCTGTAAACAAGGCTAGCCTCGAACTCAGAGATCTGCCTGCTTTAGCCTCTCAAGTGCTGGGAATAAAGGAACGGTCATAATGCCAGGCATTTTAAAGCTTTATAAATCTTTAATTTTATGTAATACACACACACACACACACACACTATGTGTGTAAGTGCTGGGGCACACATGGCAGAGCACACATGTGGAGGTCAGAGTCTACTCTCTCTTTACACACACACACACACACACACAATGTGTGTAAGTGCTGGGGCACACATGGCAGAGCACACATGTGGAGGTCAGAGTCTACTCTCTCTTTACACACACACACACACACACACACACACACACACACACAATGTGTGTAAGTGCTGGGGCACACATGGCAGAGCACACATGTAGAGGTCAGAGTCTACTCTCTCTTTACACACACACACACACACACACACACACTATGTGTGTAAGTGTTGGGGCTCACATGGCAGAGCACACATGTGGAGGTCAGAGTCTACTCTCTCTTTACACACACACACACACACACACACACACACACACACTATGTGTGTAAGTGTTGGGGCTCACATGGCAGAGCACACATGTGGAGGTCAGAGTCTACTCTCTCTTTTCATCCTTCCACTATGTGATCCAATATAAAATTTAGGTTATCAGGCTTGTTCAGCAAGTACTTTTGCCATTTCACCCATCTTGGCCCCATCCTGAAAAGATCACTATTTCTCTGCTTCTGGGTGTTGTTATTAAAAGTGTGCACCCTCATGTGTGGCTCACAAAAAAAAGAATAATTTTTTTTTTTTTTGTTTGTGAGGCAAGGTCTCACGTAACATGGGCTGGCCAGGAATGGTGGCATATATCTTTAAAGTAGATCTTTGTGAATTTGAGGCCAGCCTGGTCTACACAGAGAGTCCTGAGGTAGCCATGGCTACACAGTGAGATCTTGTCTTTAAAAGAAAAAAAAAGTCACATATTAGGAAAATAAACTCACCCAAAATTCAGATTTTTTCAAATAGTACAGGGTACTACTATGTATCGCCTGTAGGAGTCACAACAAACAGCATTATGAAATTCACACACATAAAACTGGAGGGGTCATTTTACATTTTCTACTTTAATAAAGCTATTTAAAAATGGAAACACATCCATATATAATTTTTTAACAAGAAAGAAAATACACTCTAAGATACTTAATACTGCAGAATACAAAGGTTTGGTTCAAGTGTTTACCAGAAATATTTAGCATTTATTGAAATCTGGAATCTTCTTTCTATTTCTTGCCCTATCACCATCTCTGCTATTTCTCAAATTCCAATTCCTAGAAATGTTTAGGACTTAGCTCTTTATTTAAAAAAATATTTACAAGGCATAATGGAACTAGTCTGTGGTCTCATGTACCACCAGTATGTGTCACTGGACAGTTACATGACATATTCCTAACAAAATATAGTTGAAATTCTATAATGAAGGCAAATAAAACGTTTATGCACTTTTTTTCATCATTTGTAGCATTAGAAAAAGATCTGGGGAAAAGTTAATATGCAAAATGAAAAACAAGGCAATTCCAACAGAACAACTTCATTAAAAAGTATAGGAGACACATCTGACATATAATGCACACACGTGCAAACAATTATGTGGGAGCTGACATATAGAACAACACACGTCATGTCTGTAGAACACTACTGGATGGATCTCAAGTGCTGTGTTGGGTTTGTCAGTACCAGACTGTGTAGTACCTGCCTAAGCTGTTAACTCGATTTTTCTGAATCAACAATCAAAAGAAACATTGCTTTTTCATATGTGAGAGACCCACAGAGACTTGGAAATTGGAGGCTTATAATAATAGGAATATTCTCAGCTGACTCACTAAATATGTTAAGCAGACTTTTATATGCCCGAAGGTCAAGAAGCTATTTCTACACTTGCTTTGTGTTTAGATGGCAGCTTTAGAAAGGAAGGGGGAGTAATGTGCACGCTTTAACACTGTGTGCTGGAAAACAAACGTCAGTACAATAACAAGTTGGAAGAAAGCAAGGCAGATTTCATTACGGTGGAGTGCCTACACTTCCTCATAACTTGGATTTACACACTGCAAATCCTCTGATCTGATTACCTCCAGTGATCACGTAAAATACCAGCTTTAAACTCTTTGCCTTAGTGATAAAACAGCCACTTTGATTCACAACAAGACATTCACAATAAAGTATACTGTAAACGTACCTGTCCACAGCCCGGGGCATTGCACACAAACGGTCTGTCGTCTCCCATATTTCATAAAGCAGAGCAGAGCTGAGGGGGCCAAGAAGTAAGGGGAAAAGTTATGTTAAATACGCTGGAGAAAAAAAAATGAGCTTCAAAAATATCAAGACTAGAAACAGGTGTCCCAAGAATGCTATCTATCAAAGCTGTAAACACAGGCTACTTTGGAGAGACTCATTAGACAGGTGGCATATGATCTACTGTGCCTCAATTGAAACTTTCAATTAGGAAAATTCAGACCTAAATAGTCCAGAATTTTAAGACTTGCTGGGTTTTCCTTCTTTCTGCTACAGTATGTAACACATTTCTCCAGTCTACTGAATTACAGCCAGTGCAGCTCTCTATGTCAATAAATTAACCCAACGCTCGATGCGGAAGCCATATTTCTGAACTGGAGAAGACCAAAATTTGTCATTTAATTAATTAAGGGATTATAGGAGGGGTGCTCCATTTTACAGGGCTATAATTTGGCTCCCCGGTGTATAAACTACGAGACTGTTGGCAAGGGTCGTTTATCCCAGATTATTGCCAAAGAAAACAAAGCACCTATCCTATTGGACTACATGGGAAATTATTTTCATTAATAAAAAAATAAAAAATAAAAGCTTCCCCTCCCCACTGGGAGCCTCCTCCTCCCCCCACCAATTGTCTGTGGCAAATGAAGAAATATCAGTGCCCTTCCCCCTCTGATTCTATTTATGGCTAGGTTTTTAAAAGCAGCAATAAAACAAATGTCGACTCTTTGGGGGTTTACTGGGTGAATATGTTCCGGCTGTTTGTGCAGCTCTCGGCCAGAGTTCTTGGGCTGCTCCACTGCAGCCAACAGATGTGTGCTGCTGCAGGGCATCAGAGAAATGCATTTACAGGCACTACCATCCAACTCTATTTCCCTGAAGAATTTAACAGAATTTATATTGCTTTTTTAAATGACTAAAGCTAATCTCTTGAAATGTTTATCAAAATTCTTTGTCAAACAACAAATGCAATCTGAATGTGCCAGGGAAATTTCTCATATTCCAACTAAGAACAAAAACCAGGCAGAGATGAATAATGACAGGAAATGCAATCACAGCAAAAATATCCCTAAAAGATAAACAATATTTTGGAAGAGTCAAAGAGAAAACTGGGAGGAAGAATAAAAGCAGTCTTATAGAACAAGGTTCTAAGGACAATTTTACACAATTATCCACAACACAGAACAATACATAAAAGGATGTGAACAAGGGAAGATGAGTGAGGGACGATCGTTGAACTACGTCTGGAAATAACTTCAGAGCTGTAACCAAATCTCAAATTCCTGCATTAAAATAAAATGCTAACATGCTAGAATGAATGTAGTAACAGAAACCAGGCTTAACAGAGGCAATGAGGTACTATCTCTCCTATTCTCTCAGGATTTACTTTTGGGTTAGAAACCAGTATTTCTGGTTGTCTAATCAGTAATTCCACAACTAATCGGTGTTTAAAAGTGTGAGGTGCCCCATAAAATAGAAGGGGCTGCTTGGTCATCTTTCAGTGTGACAGGAACATGGTCTAACTATGAAGGAAACTGATGTTCAGTCCTGCTGGAATGGAACAGACTCTGTATATACATACGTATACACAGATTTATATCACATTTAGCCAGGATAAATTGCTTCAATAAATTCTGCTCCTAGGAGAGCCCAGCTCAAGCCGATGATTGGGTACTGGGAAATGAGAGCTTCATTCTTCCTCACATAGCCCTAGGACAACAAGGTTTTCTGGTTTGTTTGTTTGCTTGTTTTAAATACATTTTTAAAAAACAAATAAATTATTTTTAGTACTTTCTGTAACTGTAACACAGTACCAAAAAATAAGTAAATAAAAGCAAATAAATATAGAAACTGTGGTCATGATGGCTGAAAACGCAGATGATCTTTGGAAAGCAAATCATTCCTCTGTGGGAATCGGCACTGCTGTGCTGCACATAGTTTCACTCCTAGCAAGGTAGAAGTGGACAGAAGACGGAGAGCAGTCCTTACTTCTGGCACTTGAGGCTAGATTGTCTCCTTTACTGACTATTAGAAGGAAGTGTTCTTTCTGGTAAGGAAGGGGAGTAGGAAGTGATTACATAAATTCTGGAACAATTTTCCTCAAGCCACAAATTTCAAACCTTCAAAAAATGACGATGATTATAATTTGGAATCTTTACTATGAATTATATGAAAACAAAATTTTGCCTTGCTAAAAAAGAAAAAAAAAGACTGGGAGAAAAAGCATTAAAATCTAACAGAAGTAAGCTTTTCTTTGGTCTTGAGTGTTAAACTGTCAGTTACTAATATGATTTCCTGCTTCTGTCCTAATTTGTAAGCCTTTGTTTTACCATTTTTACCAAACAGAGATCACAATGGGAGGAAGAAGTCTTTCATCCCCTTATTCTCAGGTCCCTTGTCATTTTACATCATTTCTGCATTCAAGAAAATTTAAATATTTAACAATGATAAGAATAATATCTCTCCCCATTTAAAAAAATCCCACTGACACCTTTTTAATTTCCCCTTCGCTCTCCATCTGCTACAGCACGGTGACACACAGAGAGTGCTTCTGGTTGTTTCTACGTGACAGACAAAGGCAACACACTTCTGCCATCTGGACAGATGGAGACAAAAAGAGAATCTTCAATGATAACGCTGCCACTCGATGTGAACTTAACTCACAGCTCATCTGTAATTCCACCGCCTGAGAAGCAGACCATGTATCTAGGCATGACACTCACAGTGTATTTATTGTCTCCTTCCTGATCTATTTTTTAGGACGAAATGTAAGAACTTTATAGGCCTAAACAATAAATGATGAGAGGAATATCCAACTTGAAATACACTACCAAGAGTGAGTGGGATGCTTAGGACGAGAAAACAAAAGGTTTTCCTTAGATGTCCAGGTCTACAGGGGAAAAGGTTCATGTACTTGGAGCAACCAAAATGTGTAAACGATACAATTAGGATTTGCATAAAAGTGAAATTCATCTGAATGCTGGTAGACTAGTTGAGAAAAATCAAGGTTTAGGGCCAGTGAGATAGTTCAGCAAGAGAAGCACTTGATCTGAACTCAACACCTAAAACCCAAGGGAGAAGGACAGAATCAACCCCTCTGACCACCGTATGCAGACCATGGGCTCCATACTCAAATACAAATGCTAATACACTTTTTTTAAGTCAAGGTTTAGAAAATTAAATTTTTATAATGTTTTATTTGCGTGTGTGTGTATTTGCATGTTAGTACAGGTGTTCTCAGAGACCAGAAGTGTTAGATCCACCTGTAGGTGGAGGGATGGACAGCGATGACCTATCCAACATGGGTGCTGGGATCTTTACATACTAAAATGTTTGTCATAGTAATATTTATGACCAACAAAGAATAGGAATTAAGTGCAGAAGGAAAATAAATATAAATTAAGATATTAAATTACAACAGACCATATTTAAGATGTTAAGAATAACATTTTGAAAACTATTAAATGATATAAGAAAGCAGTACTCATTAAATGTATTCTAGATTAATTTCTTCTTTGTACTATTAGTATTCTCAAGTCTATAATGATCAGAAATTGCTTTTAATAAATCAAAAATGGGCTAGCAGATAAAGTGCTTGCCATACAAGCCTGAAACTTGAGTTTGACTCCTGGTAGAAGGAGAAAACTAACTCCACAGAGTTGTTCTCAGACCTCCACATGTGTACCAGGGCATATGGGTCCCCTCAACACATATCATATATACATATAATAATGACAAGTGAGATAAAATTACAAACATATAATGTAATCTAATAATAAAAGAATGCTGATCTACATGACTGAATAAAAAGTATGTCTTTGAGTTAAAAAGAAAAAAAAAAGCCTGTTACCTTTTAAACTATTCTAGAGCACTGAAGAGTAAAGAGTCATATAAAGTTCTATACAGTATCCATATCAACTGGAAAGATAAGTTCAAAAAGAACCATGAAAAAAGTTTAAAACTGCCAGTTTCCTACAGAAAACAGCCAATCAGTTCCAGTCAGTTCTTCCCTTTATTACCCATTTTCAGAATCCCTGGCAAAAAATATTACTTACAGTAATAACTAATTAGAAATGATTAGAAACTGTCCCTAATACGCATCTCTAAGAGACTGAGGGGAACTAAAACTAAGCCTAGCAGGTATTGTACACCATTTAGTTTAGCTGGAAATTTTAAAACAGGCTCTAACTCTGTATCTCCCTTCCTTTATGGCATTAATACAAAAAAGTATATATGCAAACAGTTCTCTGAAGAAATCACAACAGTAGAATGCATTTCAGACAACAAAGAATTTTGCTGTTTGTAAACAAAGCACACAAACACTGAGCAGTCTCCACAGTCCTTTAAATCACACACACATGCTGTAATGCATGTGTGGAGTCAGAGGACAACTTTTTGGAGTAGGTTCTCTCTCTTCCATGTCGGTCCTGAGGACAGACTCAGACTGGTGAGTGTCTCTACCTACTGAACCATCTTTCTAGCTCCACTCTCAACAATTTATCCTCCAAGAGGACACTCACTGATGCTCTGGTCTGCATGGTATCTAGAAAGTCACATAAGGAAAAGATTCCAGTAAATATATATAAACTGTGAAATTGTAATGCAGGGTATGTGAACCTCAAAAAACAAAGTACACAAGTTTTACCAGGCAGTAGATTATTCAGGAGTTGGACTCTCAGCTTATTAATTTTGGGCTAATTTTCCATTGTACTATTTGGTGTCGCCATTGTTCACCATACATGATCTCACTAGTAGGTAAATCACCCAGAAGGATGATGTAAAACTACAAATACTACTACAACCTTAAACAAATCATTTTTATTGTTTCATATCAAAGTTTTGTATTCATATGTATGTGCACGGAAGCTGTGTGTGTCTTCATGTGGAAACCCGACCGTGGTGCTGGTGAGAAGCAGGGATCTACCAGTCCCCCTGGTGTGCTCCCCCACACTCTCTCAGGTTACACACATGTGCTGCTTTGCCTGGCATTTTACATAATTTCTGAGGATCCAATCT